AACATATGATGCATACAATTTAGAAAATTGTTGATTTTATGAAAAAAAAAAAAGTAATTAAAACTATAAATATTCTAATAAAACAAAAATATGTTAATATTCAATACATATTTAATTATAAATTGTAATATACATTTGAGAATTTATTGATACATATTCTTGATTTTAATTTATAATAATTTGTGATATTGCATTTATGCTAAATTGTGAAAATATAATTTTCCTTATGCATAAATGTAAATAAAAATAATATAATAATGAAACTATTTAAATATTATGATAAAATGTGTAATAAATATTATATTGATATTTAATACAATGTAATTAATAATAATCATAAATATTATAATACATTTGAGATTTTTTATTGATGCGTGTTCCTTAGTAATTAATGATTTTAATTTATAATAATTTCATTTTTGCTAAATTATATTTATTTTTACTATATCTGTGTCTCTCTACATTTTAGAATTTATGCAAACAAATAAATTATTATTTCCTTTTTCCTTTCCAACACTCTGTAATGCCATTTTTGGGTGCTTTTCTTACCAAATAGTGTCATTTATTAAAAATGTCAACGTGTTTGATCCATATGTAGTCATAACTTGATCATTGTGATATCCAGAGAGAAAACGAACTCTGAAGCTATAAAGTGTTCATGCAAACACGGATATTGCGATGTACGATGGAAGTCACGTTAGCCACGAAGAGCTAAAGTTAGTACGATTGCACAGACTGAACAGCAGCTCCTCGTTTGCCCACAGGCTGTGTTGTGCATTTTGTTTGGTTTCTAATTTGCAATGATTTGTCATGTCACCCCCACAGACAGTGGAGGTATGATGGATAGGCCTTGCACCCTGACTGGGACCCCAGAAAGCATCGAGTAAGAATGCAGCACCGCAGTTTAACCCTTGAGCACAAACACAACGCATTATACGCTGCTGCTTTATTAGAGTCAGAATGCACTGAATGAGCGCCAGTCATTCGTCTGTCATTCGTGTTCGTCAGGCAGGCCAAGCGGTTGTTGGGGCAGATCGTGGACCGGTGTCGGAACGGACCGGGCTTCCACACTCAGATGGACGGGAACAGCGCTATCCAAGAGATCCTGATCCCGGCCAGTAAAGTCGGCCTGGTCATCGGGAAGGGAGGCGACACCATCAAACAGCTGCAGGTTTGTTAATTCTCTAAGATTTGCTGCCACAAGTCAGTCTTTATTTGTGTATTGTGCTCGGGATCGCTAATGAAAATAGTTCCTATCAGAGCCACAGTAGAACTGTTCGTTACTGAATGTATCCAGTTTTGAACAAATCAGGCATTACATTTTTTCCTGTATTTTTTATCAAATAAATGCAGCCTTGATGAGCATCAGACACTCCTGTAAAAAACATTAAAAATCGTTCTGATCCCAAACTTTTGACCGGTAGTGTGTATATATATATATCTACAGTATTGCACTTTTCCAGCCAAATGTCAAAAGTATTAGTTTTAATGACATAAAGAAGTATTCAGAATGCATCATTTAGTTTACAGTCTGGCAAAAGTGTAAATCAGGATTAGACATAAAATAATGTGTTCAGAATCATTCATGCGTGTGAAAAAGGGATGAAATTTAAACAAATAGCTGTAATCTGGCTCATATTCTGACAGGATTCATGTCTTCGCCTTATAAATGATTCTCAGAAGCAAAACTGCTACAGAATGCGTCATATTTAGTGAGAAAGTGTGATGTGTGAGAGCAAAACAGGGCAGTATTTTTTAAATCAGCAGTGCAAATTATTAAGAAACAAGTGTTGGATTTCTTTTAGCAAATTCTGGTCCACATTGCGTCTTATTCTGGTCAGAAACAGAAAATGACGCTTGTGCGCGTGTTTCTTTATCACACTAATGTGTCAATTGCTTCAAGTTGTACTGCGCTTCTTGTAATTGTTTTATAATTAAATGGTGACTTAGTTAAAAAAAATGTGCATTGCAAAATGTGGACTTGTTTTATGCATTTCACTTTATTCAAACACATTTTCGTTGATAATTACGGATCCATAATATAGTATAATATATAAACAGTGCTGAACTGAAATTTGTTCAATAGTTTAGTTTGAAAGGTAATGATGAGCAAATGTTTGCATGCAAATGCACCGGAAATCGTGCATCAATATGCAGTTTTGCAAACTTTTTTTGCCATTACGTGCAAAGTGCATGAGTTTAGTTTGTTATTATGCGAGTCCTGCTGTTAGGATGTGTGTTTGTTTTGTGTGTTTCTGGACGATGCTGCTGAGCTCAGGTTAGGGCATGCTGGGACGCACTCGATCACACAAATCTCTTAAGTCTGTGGAGGACCAGCAGGATCATTGACGCGTTAAGAAGTTTACAGGGATTAATATACTGTTCTCTCACATGTTAACACTGTTTACAATCCCTTGAATATTCATGCTGCTGAGCGATTCTGCTGAGTACGCCTGTTCAATTCATTCACACACTAAACTGAACTGAAGTAGCAAACAAGGTGCAGAATTAGGAAGGAGAATTCAATGGAAATAGTTCATTAAACTTGCTGTATAGTGTAGTTTTAATACATTTTGTGTGCAAATTATCCATAAACTTGATAATGCATGTATAGGGGATTTCCATAAACGTTAGGTGATTTTAATCATTTTGTTTTTAAAAATAATTTTATTTAAACTAGTGCCGTAATAATAAAAGTTTTTGTTTGCATAATATATGTGTGTATATTTATTATGTATATATAAATGCAAACACATGCATGTATATATTTAAGAAAAATGTTATGTTTATATATTAAATATATATATATAATATAAAATATAAGAATATGAATACGTAAATGTATAAACGTGTAAATATTTTCAAAATATATTCTGTATGTGTGTGTGTATTTATATATACATAATAAATATACACTGTACACATACACATATAATGTTAACAAAAACTTTATTTTGGAATCGCGATTAATCGTTTGACGGCACTAATTTAAACATAATGAAATGGATCAAATTAAATTTTGTGCACCATGATGGAAGAATGCATGAATAGATTTAAATTTGAATGTCATTATTTGTTAATGATAGCATTTATTAAATATCAGTTATCTGAAAACAATTGTTTTCACCATACTGTACTTAGTTTAGAGAAAGATGTCAAATTAGTAGAGAATTGTATTCTATGCATCAAGGAATGAATTACATGCATAATGCATAATTTTTTGTGTGTAATCAATTAAAGCCAAGTTAACCCTGTAAAGCCTGACATGGAATAATAGTCTAAAAAATCTAATTTTTTGAAATGCAAAAGTTTGTTAATGTCAATCAATGAGATGTTTTTGATCATTAATAAATTCACATACAGTATCAGTGTGATAGAGTAGTTTTGTGGTGTTAAAGCTGTAGCGGGTGTAATCTCCGGATCGGATCCGTGTCTGTTTCAGATGACGGGATGAGTCCGGACCGGATCGCTCAGGTCATGGGTCAGCCGGATCGGTGTCAGCATGCGGTTCACCTCATCAACGATCTGGTCCAGACGGCACAGGTACGTCTGAAACATCATCTTACACTGATGATGGAGTCGGAGAATGCAGTGATACGAGCCTCAAATTCAAGAAATGAGCACAAAAAACACCCTCTTTATTTCTATCTTATGATAGAGTTGAGCAATATCACACCGGCAAGAGTGCTGCTTTTCCCCAATATCTACACCATTGTGAATGTCATACTGATTTATACAGCAGTTCAGTAAATAAGACGTTAATATTGGGTTACATTTTAGATACAATATGTGTCCCTGCAGCACAAAAGCAGTGTTAAGTCGCTGGGGGATATTTGTAGCAATAGCCAACAATACATTGTATGGGTTGAAATTATCCATTTTTCTTTTATGCCAAAAATCATTAGGATATTAAGTAAAGATCATGTTGCATGAAGATATTTTGTAAACTTCCTACCGTAAATATATCAAAACTTAATTTTTGATTAGTAATATGCATTGCTAAGAACTTCATTTCCACAACTTTAAAGATGATTTTCTCAATGTTTAGATTTTTTTGCACCCTCAGATTGCAGATTTTCAAATATTGCCCTATCCTAACAAACCATACATCAATGGAAACCTAATTTATACATATGATGTATAAATCTCAGTTTCAAAAAATTGACCCTTATGACTGGTTTTATGGTCACATATTGTCTGTTTTTGCCTAATTTTGACAACGAAAATGGTTTCAATCAAAGCCACAGCAGAACCATTGAGCGTCTCTGATCAACACTCAGCGGTGTTTCGTTACTGAATGAATCAACAGTTTTGAATGAATCAAGTGAGTCAGTGATTCAGTGACTTCAGTCACTTCTGAATGAATCAACAGTTTTGAATGAATCAAGTGAGTCAGTGATTCAGTCACTTCAGTCACTTCTGAATGAATCAACAGTTTTGAATGAATCAAGTGAGTCAGTGATTCAGCCACTTCTGAATGAATCAGTCATTTGAGCAAATCGGTTGAGTGATTGATTCAATAATGGCGCTTTTAGTTTCATCTTTAGAGTATCATCCAAGTCATTTCATATCTCGGTGTTCGTTATAAAATTAATTAATACCCATTTATTATTATTTCTAAAGCAATTTTTTTGGTAATGTCTATTCATGATTTTCTTATTTAACACAATAATGACTTTAAATGGAGTCAGCCGGAATTGATGTGCAACTAATTATTTACACATGATGAATGAATTCGATGCAATATTTTAATGGCTTGTCTGGTGTTCAGGAGCGCGATGGGTTCGGAGGCCCGGTTGGACCCAGAGGTCGCGGCAGAGGTCGCGGTGATTGGAGCATGGGATCTCCTGGAGGCCTGCAGGAAGTGACCTACACAATACCAGCTGATAAGTGCGGCCTCGTGATCGGGAAAGGTTAGGACTTCCTCTGCATTCGGCCGTTCACAGGCGCTTTTATTAAAGCAACCTTATAAGCACGTCGCAAACTGTACATAATTATTGTATTGGAATGAAAGCATTGATTCATTAGCAGATCAAAGTGGAGTCAGCTTTTAGTTCGCTTGTCGTTTTTCTGAAATGTCAGTGTGTGTATAAATGACCATTGTGTAAGTGTTCACTCTGTAGGGAGCTTTTGAGCTCTTCATTGCAACACAATGAGGTAAAACATCTTCTGGGTGGTCTAAAACACCGCTGTTCATCTGAATCTGAATGAAGTGCTT